GTAAGACTATTTTGTCTTAAAATTTCAGAACACAGAATTGTAGCAAACTCAGTCTCATTTAGAAGTGCTGTGAAATGTGCAGTATAAGTATAGCATTATAGGGTCTACCAGTGAGTCAGATGTTACAGCCTTATCTGTCAACACCAACTGAATGATTTCAATATCATTTGCAACCGAGCACTTTATTTTTAAACGTGCAAAGGAACAGACTGGAAAGGGGAAACACGAATAAAGCAACGTTATGAACAGAATCTATGAGCCATGGTAAGCCCAGACTGTACAGCCCTTTTTACAGTGTCTGTTGCTCATTGGGTTACACATGTCACTTGGGTATCAGAATTGTGACGTGAATCCATATGCATTCTTTATAACACACTTGAGATGATGTGAATATCGATCCAGTCAGAGGAAGTGGTACTTCAACTGCAATAATTAAATATAAAATCTGAGACTGTTGATTGAGTAGAATGACCAGAGATGTTTAGCGTGTTCTCTGTTTTGGGATGGGGTGGGGGGGGGGCGCGGAGCGGTGGGCAGGGAGTGGCGCTCAGGGGTGGGGAGAAAGAGTGATACGCAGTGAGAGGGAGAGAGTAACTGACAGAGAAAAGGGGAGTGAGTCGCGAGAGAGAGGGAGCGATACCTTCTGAATGAAACCTACCATGTGCTCCGTTAACCCCATCCCGACCTGTCTCCTGACCTCCCACCTTCACCGCTGTTAGCAGACATTGTGACCCTCTCCTCTGGTACAGTGTGTGTCAACTTAGCTCAGTGATAGCACTCTCGCCCCGTGAGTCAGAAGGTTGCAGGTTCATACCCAGGTCGGCACTCGAAACTCACAGCTAAGCTGACACTCCAATGCAGTGCTCTGCCACCTTTGACACTGTTAATCAACCTCATCACCTCTCCTCTTCTCCACCTTCACAGTTCTGTCCTACCCTGGTTTCACTCTTTCTCTCATCAAATGGCTTTTTCTCTTGCCCCTGCAAAATGACACGTGTGGTGTTTCTCAGGGCTCTGTCCTTGGTTCCTCTCCTCTTCATTATTTATATGCTCCCACTTGGCCACATCATCCCTAGAGGTGGATATAAATGTAAATTATATTGAATTGTAGCTGGTAGATGAAATTGAAGGCAGAGAACTGTGAAGTGGTACATGTTGAGAGGAAGATTAAGGAAAGAAAATATGCATTTACCAATAGCACTCTAAAGGAATGAAAGAGGAGAGAGATCTATGCAATACCATTTAGATTTACGTGGCGCCTTTCATGTTGGCCGGTTTTCTCAAAGTGCTTTACACCGTTGGTTGGGCTTCACACTGAGCCTAGGGGTGGGAGATCTGAAGAGGTTAGGGAGGGGAAAGATGGCTAAAAGCTTGATCTAGAGGTTAATATACACATCATTAAAGGTGGGAAGGCAAGTCGATAAAGCTGTGGGGGGGGAAAAAAGAAAATTGAACCCTAGGTTTTGTAATTGGGGATATAGAATAGTTCAGACTGGCTGAAATGGTAGAATGTTCGTCTTCTGAATCAGAAGGTTGTGAGTTCATGCTAACAACCTTAAGGACTTTGAGATCATAATCTCGAAGACACTACAATTGGGAAGCATTGCATTGACAAAGCTGCTGTCTTTAAGATGAGATGCTAACCTGAAGCCCCATCTGCCCAATTCGGGTGGATGTTAAAGATCCCATAACACTGTGTGAAGAGAGAAACTTGTTATGGATAACAACCTCTCAAATAAAAATTGTTCATTACATTTTTATGGGCATTGGTGGACAAGCATTAGGCTCCTGTGTTTGCCGAAGAAGTACCCAGTCACTGCAATTTACAAAAAATGCAGAAGCACATTGAGACGTTTCCATGTGATAAATTATATCAAATGCAAGGATTTACAATAAAGGGATAATGCTAAACCTGTATAAATCACCAGGTGGAATAATTTTTCCACACCACTAAGGGAAGGATATCATGGCCATATGAGAGAGGGCAGATTTACTCGGAGGATACCACGAATGAGGTTTTGCATATGAGGAAAGTTAGCAGAAACCCGGGCTGTATTCCCAAGAAGAGAGAAGGTTGAGAAGAGACATGATCAAGGTTTTTTTTTAACATTATAATGATGTGGTTGACGGGCTACCCAGAAAGAAATTAAATCTTATGTCATCCAGTTAGTGAAATAAAGTAATTACTAAAAGCCAAAGGAGAAATATTTTTACACATAGAGTTGTTAGGTTTTGGAATGACCTATCTGGAACTGTGCTTGATATATTAACTTTAAAGAGAGAATTACAATACAAAATTACATTTGTATAGAGTGTTTCACGTCGGGAGGATGTCCCAAGGTGCTGTAAAATATTGGAAAAGGAAAAATATATAAAATGATATGGGGAAAGGCAGGAGAATGGGACTAAATGGTTAGCTCTTTTAGATAGCTAGCAATTATGTTTGTCTGATTGAGCTCCTTTTGAACTGTAAATATCTATGATGCTATGAAATTACCAATGGATCTGTGGAACAATTCTGACTTTGTCAGTGCTTAATCTTGGTGTGGTATTTGAAGGGCCTGCCTTTCTCATAGAGGTTTCTTTATACATTTCCTTTAAGCCAATTTGTTCTTCAAAAGATTCTAAAGCTGAAACCCTGTTTGATGATTTTTTTTATTAACCATGGTTTTTCATGATTGAATATTTTTCCCCTGATCTAGAATAGATCAGCCATGATCTTATTGAATGGCGGAGCAGGCTCGAGGGGCCGAATGGCCTACTCCTTCTCCTAGTTCTTATGTGCCTATTTGTCTCTTACCCTCTCGCTCAACCGAGCTCTATGGGAACCCCTCATCACAGTCGGGTGCACAAAGAACATTTGGAAGGGCAATCCTATTTTAGCCTCAGTTGCTCTACAGTTGTCTGAATCATGTCAGTACAGATAGATGTACCTTCCTATCTTGAGCTCATTAATGGACAATTTAATTTAAAACCAAGCTAACTAGCAGTGCCGTCTTTTACATCATATATTGAAGAATAGTGAGTTGCAGACGTTGGATGTTGAATAGCTGCCTTGATTTGTTATAATGATTTAAGATAACTTTAGTCTTCATCCTAGATTCCTCAATAAAATTTCTCTTCATCCTAGATTCCTCAATAAAATTTCCTTTTTGTTCAGCTTCCTCCTCCAGTCTGGGTGGGTTCACATCATGGGTATATGGTGGTCTCTGCAGATTTGAACATTCACCCACTTGATAGTATCTTACTCTGTCCTGGGTTTTACAGTTTGGTTAAACTATTTTGTTGGATGGTAATGGGATTGTCCTATCCTTTACGGCTTTTGCTGACAGTCCACAGTATATCAGTGTGTCGGTTTGGCCTCTAAGGCAAAAGATTGTAGGTTTGAGCCCCCACATCAGGAATTGACCTCTAAATCCAGATTGAGCTTGATACTTCAGTGCTGCACTGATCACACTGCATTTTGGAGCTACAAGCTCTTGGACCAAACATTCAGTTAGATGTTAACTAACCTATTAAAGTATTCGAAAAGAGAATGGAGTTTTTTCTAGTTTCCCTGGTGTCCAATAGACTTGCAGATTAATTGACTCTTCGTGGGATCTTGTTTGTGCAAATAGCTGCCATGTTTGTTCACGAAAACAGTTAATTACTACATTTGACGGTAATTATCTGCGAAATGCTTCGAAGCAAATTATGATAAGCCACTGTGCATTTTTATAGTATCTTGCAAAAACATACAGTCACTATACTTCACATTAAATCTTATGAACCACTTTTGGTGTCCTTCTGAAGTGAAAGGCGCTATGTCAAATGTAAGGTTTCTTTTTTATTGCAGTTTAGATTTGTTTCATCTGCTTGTCAGAATTGGAAACTCACTGCTTGGGAAATTAGTATTAATTGCATCCTACCATTTTGGCACATTGATACATATTGTAAATTTTCTCAACTGAAAAACGCTTCCAAATTTTGTTGCTATAAAGCAGCCAGTCTATACATTGGAAGGGTATATAGATTTACATTTGTTCATTGGCAATATTCTAGAAACCAGAATTTAAAAAAAAGCAGAATGGAGAGTTCAAAGATAAACTACGGAAATCATATTTTGTGTGGGCCTGTAATAGGACAAATATGCAGTGTATAAATAAGGGCACATATCTGTAAAATGAAATGTATTGACATTCTTTGTATTCTTAACCATAAAATAACTTTGTGGAAAGCTGCTGAAATTGTCTATGTCAGTCATTTTTTACTGCATATTACGCGGTGTATTTTTCTTTCTTCTGCTTCTGAAGCAGTAATTACATTAATTGCTAATCTCATTTCCTTTTGTAATTTGCTTTGAATACCGATGGTGGAACTTTACCCAGTGGCAGCACTATGCCAGCTGAGATACAATAGTAATTTTTGAAAAGATACTTGTGTCCTGATCGGCATTTCCCATGGAATATCAAAGGGTTTACACGAGCTTATTTAGATCAGACGACTGATTTTTTATGTCTGGAGTAGCATTGTGTAGTTGAGCTGTAAATCTGACAGGCTGACTAAACCTGACTTTCAGATAATCACAGTTTGTGGAAAAGGACACTGTGAAATATTTGCGGCAGGACTGGGAAGGCTGATTTGATTGGATAAGATTGAGGTCACACTAAGTCAGAAATTTTAGCCAGCCCTTTAAACAACGCTTCTTTCGAGCTAGCACTTGTGTTCTGATATATAATCACTCCATCTGGTGTGACAGATATGGTCTGTAGGACTGAACGATGGTACAGCCTGAAAAGCTACCCCTACAGTGAGCGAAGTGGTACTGTACTTCCTGTTTTCATAAACGGTCATGTGCATATTTTAGTGAAGCTTGATTCCTCTGGAGCATTCTCTCTCTCTCTCTCTCTCTCTCTTTTTTCTCTCTCTCTCAGCAGCAGAGCATTGCAGCACATCCAGAAGCATTTGAAACCTGTGGCCTCATCCTTTTTTTTTAAAAAAAGAAAAAAATATAAAATTGCTGGCTGGACGTTAGGTATTTTTTTCAAAAGACCAAAGACAGAGGTGCTCGTTTCTGAACGTTTTCTAATTTTTCCAGAAACCAAGCAGAAGATTGAGCTGCTGATGTCAGTTAACTCTGGAAAGTCGTCCTCTTCAGAAAGGTACAGCAACATCCATTGCATCCAAAATTGATGCTAAAGGCAGGCAGTGGGGAATCTGAAGGGGGGTGGGGAGGCGTTGGGGGGGAGAAAGGATGTAGGAGATGCCTGTGTTAAAACATCAGTTAAGATTACATCTTGGCTTATGTTGTGCAGCATATTTTGCAGAATCCGGCCTTTTGTTGTTGAGGCTAACCGAGGGTTATTGATTTTTTTCTCTCTTTTGTGTGTGTGTTTTGTCGAATGCTTTTAAAACACAAAACCAGAAATAGACCCTCACTGTGCAGCCAGTGCCAGTGTGCTGTTTAAAACGGGTTTCTTTTTCCTCCCCTACTGAGGTATGTTAGTCTATAAATAATTCCAGGTCATCTCTTATTCTCTATCCCCACCAGAGCTGAATCCTAGGTATGGTACGAGCGTCTCCTTGGCTTCCAAAAGGGAGTGTCTGTGCTTGGAGCCTGTAAATCACTAACCCACGGATTAGTCAGACCCTGTTCTGTGAGGCAGGCATGCTGCTGTTTCATGCCTCTGCTCTGCTGGGGAATATTCATTAAATGCAGTAATGTTTCATGCCTGTAGGTGAGGGTAAATGTCTTGAAATGTTTATAAAACAATTATAATATCTGCCAATCGAAAGCCAATGCTGATGGAAAAGACTTAACTACAGCATTGTTTAATTGGAATAGTAGATGTGATATTAATTTCTTGACAGCTCCGCTGCTCAGCCTCACGGTTTGTTGTGTGTTATTTTCTAGTACCAATAAGCTAGCTCTTTCAATTATATTTTGGAGATGTATTTAGCCTGGAAAGTTATCTAAAGCATTTTCAGATTGTGTCTGCTTTTCCATCACCTGTACAGTTTCATGATCTGTTATCCTTGCCTAATTTTCATAGGCTGGAAAGATTCAGGCAATTATAAGTAAACTTAACTTAGTTGCTAATAGAGGGTGGAGGACACGTCCGTACAATTCAAAGGGAAGGGTTGGTTTAATGCACTAATTAGTGGCGTGGAGGAAAGGCATGTAGCAACAGCCCTTGATACTGCCACACAGCAATTCTTTTGTGACTGAAGTATCTGTGCTCTTTTCACTGCGAATAAGTTGAGGAAATGCCATTCTGAAGTGTGCACGATGAAACGTTTCAGTAGAAGGAAACCCATGATTCTTCATTATTGTTAAAAAGTTTTGTTTTGATCTAGCACACAGTTAGAAACCCTGGATAGTTCAGTTTAAAATGACCATGTTTTTACTTACCTATGGCAATGCCCTGCTTTAATCTTCTTTCAATTCTGTTGAACGTGTGTCAGCCTGGCTAAGTGATAGCACTCCCACGCCTGAGTCAGAAAGCCGTGGGTTCAAGTCCCACATTAGGAAGTGAACTTACATTCCGATGCAGTGATGGGGTGCGTTGCATTGCCGGAGGTGCCTTCCTTCGGATGAGACGATAAACCCAGGTCCCATCTGCCTGTTCAGGTGGGACATTGCTGTGTTCAGTTCGGCTGCTGCAAAGGCACAGTCAATCCAGTTTATAATAAATCCGATGCAATGCTTTGGGCCATCCTCCCAACATGAAAGACGCTAGACCAAATGCAAGGATTATTATTAATAATTTCAGGCCACCCTGAGAGGAAAAGGTTCAGCTCAGCGACATGTTGTAACCACCCTAATCCTGGCTCATGGTAGCATTCTCGCTTCCAAGTCAAAAAGTTGTGCGTTCAAGCCCCAAGTCGAGACTTTGAATTTGGGACTGTCGGTGCAGTGCTGGGGAGCGCTGCCTTGGTGGAGGTGCCGTCCTTTGGATGAGGCATTACCCTGAAGTCCTGTATGCCCGTTCAGATGAATGTCAAAGTTTCCATGTTAGTGTCAAAGGGAAGGGAGTTTCGCCAGGTGCCCTGGCCAACAAATGCCAAATAAAATTGGCCGCTCACTTACTCATCGTTGGTTTTGGGATATTGCTGTGCTCAAATTGGCTTCCACATTTGCCTACAAATACAGTCGTTACACTTTACAGTAATGTTCTGTGAAGCGTACTTTGAGGCTTCCTCCCAACAACACGATAAACTGCTATATCAAATGGAAGGATTGTATTATTATGGACTCTTGGCTTCAAGAAAGAAGAGATGAGGGAAGATTTTGTAATAGACAGCTGAGATGAGGTAACTCATAAAAGAGCAGGGATTATTATATCTGGGGGGTATTTCCTTGTCATAGCTGAGCACCATATCACGTGCTATCGATGTGTTTTTACAATATATGGTTCCTTGTTGAATCAATTCCAACACTACTGGAGTTTTAATGTACCCCTGCTTTCTCTTTTTGTGGAAATCATTGATTCCTAGGATTTTAAGACTGAAACTCCTTTTTCCCCCCTCGTTTAATCTATAGGATTTTAAAGCCAAATTTGGAAATTCACCTAACAAGTTCCCGTTTCTTTGCTAACTTGTTGCATCCTTTGTGCTCTACTGCACTATGGGCCTATTTCCTTCACGTAAGTTCTGAATATAACGTATTCTGAATATGACAAGTTGCAGTTTCTCTTTTCATGTCCACCACATCCTCTCTGCACAGGGGAAGGCTGTAGAGCTAGTCCAGACTTTCATGAGTATGCCTACACTGAACACCATGCTTACAAGAGTGGCGTGGGATAACTCGTACTCCAGGCTTCATTTGGCACCTCACCATTGGAATATTTTGCCATTGGAGGAAACTGTATGCAAAGATACGTGCTTATCCCTCTATCCCCACAAAATACACAGTTAATCCACTTTACAGTATATTCTATGAAGCTCCTTGAGACGCCTCAACGATGTGATAAGGAGCTATATCAAATGCAAGGATTATTATTATTACTGAATAAAACTACAATGCCAACTTCAGTTATTGAATTAGATTCGATATGTCATTAGGAAATGTGATGATGCACATATTATAGTTAATCTACTTTAGTTTTGTCACAGTCTATTCTTGGAGCTCATTTCTCAAAGGACTTGTTGTTCTATCAGCTTGTCTGGCAGAAATCAGGGCCTGGATGAGTGCAAACTTCCTGCAGCTGAATGTGGGAAAGAAGGAAGCCATATTCCTTCAATATATTCACTCCTGTGGATGTAAACTCCTCAACCTCCCTGGACTCTCCCACAGTCTCACCTAACCAGTGCGCAACCTAGGCATTTGGTTCGATCTCCAGCTGCCCTTCGTCCCCCATATCCGGTCCCTGACCAGGACCACCTTCTTCCACCTTGCCAGCCTCCGACCGTACCTTACCCCAAATGTAGCCGAAGCCCTCGTGAATGCCTTGTCACCTCCAGCCTGGATTACTCAAAAGCACTCCCGGCCGGTCTCCCCAGCTCCACTATTCAAAAAAAAATCAGCTCATTTAGAACTATGCCGCCCGCATATTTTCTAGGACCGAACTCCGTGCCCACACTCACCAGCTCTGGCCAGGCTCCACTGGCTCCCCATCAACTTCAAGATCTTCATACTCGTGTTCAAATCCCTTCACTCTCTGGCACCTCCCTACATCTCTGACTTCCTCACTCCCCAATTCACCACCCGTCGCCTCTGCTCGACTGGCACCAGCCTCCTGCTTGCCCCTCGCATCCACCCCACCGTCGGAGGCCGTGCTTTCAGTCACTACCCCCTGAAACTTTGGAACATTCTCTCTCGATCCTGCCACCTTGCCCCCTCTCTCCCCTTTTTCAAGTCCTGCCTGAAAATCTTCCTCTTCGACTGTGTTAACGCACCCCCCCCCCTCCCCCCGGCTCAATCAGGCTCCACCACTATTAAGTGCTCTGAGACGCTAACCTGCCTGGTGGGCACTATATAAGTGCAAGTTGTTGTTGCAGTTGCTGGAATTTCACTAGGAGTTGCTGGTATGTGACTGATTAAAGGATCCTACTTTATATAAAACAATTGACTATATAGACACAAAAAACTTTTTTTGTGAGTAACAAATAACTGTTTCAGACAGTTGTTTGGAACTCCTGTCCCCAGGGGCTACTCCAGCTGTCATCACTCAACACTGTGAAAAGATTTATGACAGATTATAGGTAAAAGGAGAAGAAGAAAATAGATGAGGATGCAGTGTGTGAAAATCTTTGTGTTTGTAATCATTCATTATTGATCAGCACGGGACAGATATTCGAAGTGTTTATTACTTTGTGCTGAAAATGTGTAGACTGTACTATATGTTAAGATGCGCACTGCTTCTGTAGGTGTCTGGCTCTGTTCAGTTTACATTCATTCTAGAGTAACTGAAAACTCAGCGGGAGAATGAGATTGCTTTCAGAACGGATTAATTTGAAAGAATTACCAGAAACTGATTTATTTTAAATGCAATAATCTGTTTGATATAGTGCCTTATCTCATCATCGAGATGTCTCGAACCGCTTCACAGGAATTATTGTAAAGTATAATGACTGTTTTTTGGAGGTGAATTATCAATCAGTGTGGTATATTATAGTTATAAGTATTTACAGTTTTACAATTTTTTCAAATAAACTTGTTCTGTAAGAGGAGATAATGCTTTGGCTATTTACTATTCCTGAAAAATTGAAGATCTATTCTTTACAGGAATACTTTATATGTCATGATCACAGTTTAAAAAGTCCCAAACCTCACTTCACAACACCCAGCACTCACCTAATTATAATAATAACCCTTGCCTTTGGTATAGAGCCTTCTCACATTTTTGAGACGCCCCAAAGCGCTTCACAGAATATACTGTAAAGTGAATTAATAATTAATATAATTAGGTGCAGTGAATGACCAGGCGCAGAGCTATGTATAATCATCAGTTTCACAATGTGAGCGATTCTTTTGGCAAAAGGCAAAGCTTTGGGTTTCATGACTGTCGTTATAATCACAAAGCCTGTTCATACGTTATTGTTACAGCTAACTAGGGTTTTAAAATCTTTTAAGTTTTAAAATGTCCGCAGCAGTAACCAGTGTACAACTGAAATTCAAAATGAATGTGATCGGGTTGTGCCAGCACTTTTACAATGCCTT